CCCCCCCCCCCCCCCCCCGCAGAGGTAAATGTGTATACATTTTCAACAGATTAGCTGAGGAACTTAAAACAGCATTCGCAGCTCAAAAATATAAAACATGACATCATGGGCTTTTTGTTATGCAAGCTACAAAAAATGGTAGCTGTTTTTTAGGTCAAAAATGTTATAGATGTTATTAACTGCTGTAAGCCATTTCAACCATCAGAGAGATGAGATATTAAAGCATGATTTTTTTAAAAAAAAAATAAATGCCATCCAGTTTTCTCAATGTATGGCAAAGGATAATTTTGAAGGAAATGAGGATTTTTTAATCATATCTTGATTAAATATATATTTAATTTGTGTAATCAAGGGTGGGGTTTAAAATGTTATGCTAAATGCAACACATTTTTTTTCCAAAAAATTATGTTTAAAAACCCAATCAGTAGATGGATAGATAGATAGATAGATAGATAGATAGATAGATAGATAGATAGATAGATAGATATCATGAGCTTCATTCTCTATACAACAGGAAAAAGTAGGATTTAAAGACATCAGATTTCATTAAAATTACATTCAGCATTGGATATTTCACAGCAAAAAAAGGATTTCATTCTCCAATAATGAAAAACTGTTTATTTACTTATTGCAAGAATTCATATCATATCCGTTTCTTAGGAAATGGAAACAACTTTTAATACAGAGTGTCTACTGTTCTTGGCGGTTGCTGGCATACAGTGGGATTCATTCCCAGGCAAGTGAACAAAATGGATTATGGCCTTATGCAAATTGTAGATGGCCCTGTAAATCTCTCTTCACCAGTGACCATTCAATTAAAAATGGTTGAAAAGCGTAGGAACTATAGTGGAAGGAAAACTTAATTCCCAATCCTGGTTTTCTGAGTGACAGTTGGGAATCTGGAGTAGATTACAGGAATTCTGAGTTACTAAGTTTTAAGTTAAAAGTTTACTATTTTAACTTCCCAGCAACACACACAGAAAATTGTACTTTTCTTTTGAAGGTTATTCAAAGATTCAAACCCTGGTGAAATATTAAAGATAATCTATGGCACCAAACATCTACCACCCAAAATGAAAGTTATAAGATTATTACATTTTATTGTATCATTTAAAAGTGGGACGGAGTAAAAGGGAGTTCTTGCTGAGCAAAAAACCACACAAACAAAACTTTTGGATGCTAGAGTGTGTGTCACTCTTAAATCTGCAGCAGAATTCACAAAACAGGGAATTATATTCTCAAAGGAATTATATAGATTTTGAACAAGTGCATTTCAGGGATAAGCATTAATGGGAGATCTAAAAAAAAAAATGTCTTCCACCAACCATGGGAACTCCACATTTTAAGACGTTTTCTCTATTCTACCGTGAAGCGCGGAGAGAATGAAATCTCTCCTTTTAAATATATATAGCTATGAGTGCCTAGAAGCTGTTCAGCTTCTGGTTAAAAGCAGTCTCTGTCTGTCCAGAATGCCTGCAAGTATGTCTTTTCATTCACGCTTGCAATTTTTTCGGCTTTTATGCCACATGATTTATGGTTGTAAAAAAACTGCACACACATATAATAATACATTTCATTAACCCCTTCATAGGATTTCTGTCATCCAAATCAGAAATGCAGCTTACAAACCCAAATTCATCCATAAAATGCATTGATGAATGGAGGAGGGAGTGATAATAAATCTATTTATTTTTATACCTCTCCTCACTTAACCACAGAGGGGTCAACAGGGTAATCAGACCATGTTCAACTAGCTTGAATTATGAGTTCTTGAAACGAGCAACACTGTGCAGCATCCGCACTGCAGAAATAATCCAGTTTGACACTACTTCAACTGCCATGGCTCAAGGCTATGGAAGTTAAAGCAGTGTCAAACCAGATTATTCCTGCAGTGCGGATACACCCCTGACCAAATTATCCTGAAAGGAGACAATAAGCATAGAAGCAGCAGGAATGGCAAACTCTACCTGCAGCAAATGCGAGCCCAGCTCTTTGGCGACGTTATCCAGGGGGCCTAATCTGCTCGGCTGGCCCCAGGCATCTCCCAAACCTGGAAAGGAATCGAAATGTCTCCATTAAAATGCATAAATGACAGTCTTGGAAAGAGTAGATGGTGGCCCTGAACCTCTTTTCCTGAACAGAGAGAAAGAGGGGGAAAGCACTAACCAAAGAGCCAGTGTGGCCTAGTAGTTTGAGTGTTGGACTGCAACTCTGGAGACCAGGGTTCGAATCCATGCCTAGCCATGTAAAAATCCATTGGGTGACCCTCTCTCAGACTCAGAGGATTGCAACAGCAAACCTCCTCTGAAGAAATCTTGCCAAGTAAACCCCATGAGAGGGTCACTATAAATCGCAAACAACTAGAACAGTGGTTCCCAAACCTTGTTCCTCCAGGCGCTTTGGACTTCATCTCACAGAATCCGCATCCAACTTGACCAACAATCAAGAATTCTGGGAGCTGAAGTCCAAAACTTCCAGAGGACCTTAAGTTTGGGAACCACTGAACTAAAAGAACAACAGCTAGGACACTGGGGCTGAAACTGCACTGCAGAACTAAACCAGTTTGACACCTCTTTAACTGCCATAGCTCAGTATTGTGGAATTCTGAGATTTATAGTTTGTTGAGGCAAAAAAAAAAAAAAAAAAGCACTGCTCTGGTGCCTCAGCAAACTGCTTCTTTGCTGGTCAGGGGTAGAGATGGTGGGGGTCTCTTTCTTGGTGATTTAGGTGGTCTTTTCCATAGGAAAACCAACCCTGTGACATTTGGGTTTAGATTGAGCAGGACTGGTTGAAGGCTAGTGTGCGAAAGAGCCTGGCGGATGAGTCTACATGTTCCTGAGGGTCCTCAACGGCCATTTTAGGGGGAGTAAATCCCACCCAAAGTCACATAAGCCTCCCTGAAATTGGCCAAGGAGACCTTGGCCTTCGCAGGAGTTTGGTTTCCCTCAGCCAGGCAGCCACTTTTGCCAATGGTTTCCAGGCCTCCCAAAAGGCCTTGCGATTTGAGAAGGGAGCCTGCAGCAGACCTCAGCCTTTCATGTTTTCCAGAGGCCGCCAAACTGAGGCGTTACAAAGGGGAAAAGTTTGCTCCCTTCACTCAAACTGCTGCTGCTCCTGCTGCTGCTTCGGCAGACTCGGGCCTCTCCAACACAAAGGAGGACAAGGCATTGCAAAATGGAGGGCATTGGAGGAAAATATAGGACGTGACCAATTCAAAGCTCGCAGCACTCATACAGGGTGACCAGATGTTCTCACTGCAAAGGGGGACAAGGCACTGAAAAATGAAGGGTATTCCAAAATGAAAGCTAGCAACATTCATAGAAATATAAGTTTATGCTTCATTTGGAATTCCTCCTGGACAGAGGGAAGAAATGGAGGGCATGTCCTGGAAAAGGAGGATGCCTGGTCACCCTGCACTTATATAAATGTGAATTCATGCCTCTTAGTCATGCTCAAAATGGAGGACATTTTGGAATTCCTGCTGGACCAAAGGATGACATGGAGGACATATCCTGGAAAAGGAACACATCTGGTCACCCCGCACTCCTATCAATATTAATTCATGCTTTTTAGTCCTGCTTTGGAATTCCTCCTGGACAAAAGGCTAAAATGGAGGATGTGTCTGGTCACCCTGAGCCTGTCCTCTCTACATAAAGAAGTTTATTAGCAAAGTTTGAGGGACAGGTATAAAGAAACCCCTTTCTGGCCTTTCCTGACCTTCCCCCCCCCCCCAAAGAAGAGTCTTGTTGTTGTTTGTTGTGTGCCTTCAAGTCATTTCCGACTTATGGCCACCCTAAGTTGTTGAACCTACTATGGGGTTTTCTCGGCAAGCCAGGATTTGAACCCTGGTCTCCCAGGCTGCATTCGCACTGCAGAAGTAACCCAGTTTCACCCCACTTTAACTGCCATGGCTCAGTGCTGTGGAATTCTTGGAATGGTAGTTTGTTGAGGCACTTCTGGTGCTCTTTTACATTCAAAAAATAAAATAAAAGATTATCTGTCCTCTGAAGCCTTTCCATATACTCCTCAACATTTTCCAAATCCTAAGACTTTCAGGTACTGAGTATTGGTTCAAACTGTGATATGGGAATACTATCAGTATAGTGCAATATTCATAAATTATACACAATTTAGGCATAACCCACAGGTGATTCTTTATTTAAATTATACATAACCCATAGACGATCCTTTACTAAGGATATTTTTAATCACCTGAGAAGAGGTGTTTGCATGAGTGCTTTCTTTAACTCCTGCTTCAAATTACTGGTCCCTCCAGGCCTACATTATAAATGACTTCTCTTAATGGGATGAAACATATCCAGGGGTAGCCCTGTTGGCAAATACAATACAACCCCTAATCCACAAAGCCGGTAGGGAAGGTATGGAGACTTTGGGATTCTTTTGCTTCTCCTTAGATTAAGACCCACAAAACAGTGATACCTTTATTGGGCCAACCAAAATGCATAAAATATACGCTGCAAGCTTTCAAAACTCCACCAGCTTCTTTGTCGGGCAAAGGTGTTAAAAATCATACAGGAGGAAAAAAATTGAGGATGTTAGACACAGACCTGCATTTTGTAAAAGTTATTGTTGGTGTTGTTCTGAGTATGGAGGGATATCTATGCAGGCAGGCCACTCCTTCTTCTGGCCCTGTGATACTGGGAGACAATGCATTTTAAAGTCCAGGAAATTTTAAACTCCAAAGACCTTTTTCTGATGAAGAAGCCAGTGGAGCTTTGAAAACTTGTGAACTATGGGCCTTTGCAGACTGCCAGAAATAGTTCAAATTGAGCCCACTTTAACTGCCCTGACTCAGTGCTAAGGAGTCATGGGAACTGTAGTTTATTGTGGCACCAGAGCTCTCTGACAGAGAAGGCTCAATGTCTCACCAAAAAAAAAATACAATTCCCATGATTCCCTAGCACTGAGCCAGGACAGTTCAAGTGGACTCAATTTGCACTATTTCTAGCAGTCTGCAAAGGCCCTTTATTTCATGCATTTAGGTTGGCCCAATAAAGGTATCACTGTTTTGTGGATCTTAATCTGATGAGGTGCAAGAGAATCTCAAGTCTCCATATCCCTCTCTGGATACCTCTGCCTTTTGGCTGTTGTACTGAAAAGAATCCTACAAGCCATTGCATTCCCTATTACCATGTATGGATGTGAGAGCTGGACAGTTAAGAAACAAGATCGGAGAAAAATCAACTTATTTGAGATAATGTGGTGCTAGAGAAGAGTGCTGAAGAGGACTCCATGGACAGCCAAAAAGACAAACAAATGGCTCCTGGAGCAGATCGAGCCAGAAATCTCCCTAGAAGCCAAGATGGCTAAACTCAGATTGTTGTATTTTAGACACATCATGAAAAGGCATGAATCAATAGAAAAAACAATAATGCTAGGAAAGGTAGAGGGAAGTAGAAAGAGAGGAAGGCCACATGCAAGATGGACTCTGTTAAAGAGATCACAAGTATGAGTTTGCAGGATTTGGGCAGAGCAATGGACAGAGGGTCTTGGAGATGTCTCATCCACAGGGTCGCCATGGGTCAAAATTGACTGGAGGGCAGTTAACAACAACAAACTGAAATTACTACACCTTGACTGCATCCACACTGCAAAATTAATTCAGTTTGACACCACTTTAACTGCCATGGCTCAATGCTATGGAATTCAGGGAATTGCAGCTCTGGTGCCACAACAAATTCCAGTTCCCTGAATTCCATAGCATTGAGCCATGACAGTTAAAGTGGTGTCAAACTGGATTAATTTTGCAGTGTGGATGCAGCCCTGATCTGCAGCCAGCATAAGATTGGCAGATAACTTGCTTTTCCTTGCTTTCTTCCTCTGTAGTTATAAAAGTATTAATTAACTTCTTATCATTTACATTTAGAAAGTGAGATGTACTACCCATGTAGGAGACTGTGATTATCTAAACGGGAGCACATACGCTTTGGAGGTGATAAAGAGAATAAATAAAGCTATAAAGCATTTTAAAAAATAGTTCTGGCAGAGCCATGTGATCAGATTTAGCAGCTGGCTCTCTTGGACAAAAGGCACACACAAACACATTTCCTCTATCCAGACAAAAGCTTCACAGTAGAAGGAGTAAGAATGACCTCTAAGAAAAAATAAATAAATCTAAGAAAGACAACATTTTGTTGTGGAAGACTAGCAACAACAACAACAACAACAATAATAATACACAAACCATTAGAACATTATCTTCCTCTTTCTTTACCCAAAGTGTCCATCGTCTAAATTGGAATTATTTCGGAGTAATCCCACTGAGTGACCCTGGGCAAGTCACACTCTCTCAGCCTCAGGGGATGGCAATTACAAACCCCCTCTGAACAAATCTTTCCAAGAAAACCCCATAATAGGGTCTCCATAAGTCAGAAACGATTTGAAGGCAAACAACAACAACAACAACAACAACAACAACAACAACAACAACAACAACAACAAAACTATCACTGCCTGCATCTCCTCTTTCCTCCCATCCCTGAGGAAAGGCAGGGAATTAACTAAAATTGTTCATCCGCCTTGGCTCTAGACTAAAGCTGCATCTGCACTGCCGAAATAATGCAGTTTGACACCGCTTTAGCTGCCCTGGCTCAGTGCTATGGGATCCTGGGCTTTGCACTTTATAGTTAGCTTGACAGAGAAGGCTAAAAATCTCACAAAACGACAATTCTCAGAATCCCATAGTCTTGAGCCGTGGCAGTTAAAGCGGTGTCAAACTACATCGTTTCTGCAGTGCAGACGCAGCCCAAGTGATACTTGAGAACAGACCGATCCAGATAAATGAGCCATGGCTAAAATCCCATTGATCTACTTTAACACGACCAAAGACTGTTTCCATCCTAATTGCCTCTCAGTTTTTGCATTAATTTAATTAAGCTTAATTCCTTTTTATTTCCTAGTATTCACTGGCATGTCTTTGGGGGACTTTTAGATTAATGCTGTGGTTATTAGGGAAGATTCTATTCCTCTTTCTTATCCTGGCAATGATTTCGACTCAATTAACACAAACACACACACCAAGATATGGTGCTTTGAGCCTTGGACGAGGACTCTGGAGACCGGGATTCGGATCCCAGCTCAGCCCTGGGAACCCACTGGCTGACCTTGGTCGAGTCACACTCTCTCAGCCTCAGAAGGTGGCAATGTGGCAGCCCCCCTCTGAAGAAACCTGTCAAGAAAACCTCATGAAGGGTTCGCCTTAGAGTGACCATAAGTCAGAAACG